CATTGTACAAACAAAGCGTGTGAATGTACAGTGTAAAAATATTATCAATATGATTTTTAAACATGATTTTGCATTTATTTATTTTAATTCTCCAGACAACATGCAATATTTACACATCTATTTTCATTATTTTTTTTTTTTTATTTTCAAAATCTATCAATACAGTATATATTTTAATTATCCAGGTAGCATGTTACATGTATAGATACATATTTATTTTCTTTACATTATTAAAATCCATTAATATATAAATATACATTGCGTAAATTTATCAGACAATAAGTACTTTAATTCATAATAGAAAAAAGAAGATAATAATGGTTATTACAATTGTTACTAAAAAAAAAAAAAGAATAAAAAAAAAACTGGTCTCCGATAAATTATAGAATTTTATTATCTCAAGATACAGTATAAGAACATGTACGTGCTTTAATTTAATTATGTTTTATTTATTATTTCAATTTACATGCACGTTTTAATTTATCCAGATCAACATCGAAATTATCAATCTAAATAATTGATCATGAAAAAGAAATTAAATGTACATTGTACAGTATAAATGTGCATTATGTCAATACGTAAATTGGAGAAAAAAATATCATTTTAGTAACTACTATGATTTATTTTTTTTAATTAGTCTTTTACCAAAATTATTTTGTCATTTCTAATTATCCTACATGTAGACCTTACATTGTATGTTTTTGAATTTTTGTAACTACTTGCAAGTCAGTCAGTCAGTCAAAAAAAAAAAAAAAAAAAAAAAAAAAAAAAAAAAAAAAAACGCAGAAATTCTCATCACTTTCCATCGTGTCGATATATATAATTATACAGGTTTACATGTTCACGAACCTCTTACATGTACTAAATGTAATTTTCGAAATACTTTATATGGATATAAAAAAAATACTAGACGGGTACGTTTTGTACTTGTGCATGAGAAGTACACGTAATTCCAACATTAGTAAATTGAACTTGCAAAGATACCTTAATACGAAAACGTACATATCATTTTTCATTACATAGGTACCTGTATTTGAACTTTGTAATTGTCATAATTATTTAATTTTAACACTTTAATATTTATAGTTTCAAAGTGAAGCCAAGGTCATCACGTGTCGGTAATCATCCACCTGTTTCGAAGATATTGCGGGGGCTAAGAGCAATTGCGGTTGGGTTTTTTAATTGACACTTGCTAGCTGGATGTATACTGTCTGCATGGTCATGGTAAACCTGAGTATATACTCCCCCTACATTCGATGCCCCTTAAGTTACATGTACCTCGTCTGGGCACGTTATCAATAAGAAATTCAATTATTAATTTTCTTTTTGATTTTTGAATTTGGAAACGTCATAGTTCTTTGATACGTTGCATGAAGAGTACATGTTCATGTAATTTGCTGCCACCTGAATGCTGAAAATCAGTAAAATAGCTTCACGAGAGTGAGAGAGAGAGAGAGAGAACACTATATTATTTGAAATTAAAATCGCTACAACCGGCCCATAGAAAATAATTCGAGTACGGAGAGGGGTGGGAGGCTCATCGAAATAAAACAATAAAATAAAAAACAAACAAACAAACAAACATCGGGCGTTATTATCTAAATTTCATCTACTTAATCATGCGAGTTTACAGTTATTGAATTCTTGTTTTGTTTGTTTTTTTTCTTGTTTTTATTTATTTTTAAACATTTAGAATTTTGTTTCTTAACATGCCGCTCCAGTATGTACATGTATGTAGTGGGGCGGGGCCGAGAAAGGGGGGGGGGGGGTCATGAACCAGTAAGGAACACAAACTATTCAAATGATCATTTACATGTACATGTATTTGAAAACAACTTTTAAAAAAAATAATATATTCTTATCAGTGGACCAGTTATTAGTTGTTTTTTTTTTTTTGTTTTTGTTTTTGTTTTTGTTTTTTGTTTTTTTTTTTTTAAATAAGTTTTCCGTTAAACTCGCCTTATAAAACAATGATTTATAGCATGGAAATAAATTATGAATGATCTGTAAAACGAAACTCAAGTTACACTGTATGAGAATTTTTAGTGATTATCACGACCTACATATACATGTAATGGACGACAACCTAGTTTAAATGTAAACTGCTAAGTATGAAAACTTAGCATTTTACGTTTACAGTATGTCTCTGCTATTTCATAGATAGGATCATAATTCAGTTGTTTGTCTTTCAAACATTTAAATTACGATTTAGCAATCGGAGTTACAATTGGAAGTCCCAACTTATTTTAAAAAGCATGAATAATGTAAACAAATAAATCTGAAAGCTTTTTTTATTAAGATACTCTTATTAATTTCACTCCATCCGATACATCGAAAATGAATTTAACACCTTTTCTTCTTTTTCTTTCGAGATATACTTAGCTTTTAAGTTAAGAAAAATAAAAGTGATAATTCTACGTCAAATGTACGGTGAAATTCTTGAAATTTATCAATATTCTCCATATTGTCACTTACAAGTACATGTTTCGATCGCCATAAAACAGTAATGATCGATTTCACTACTGTATTTGGAATATACAAGGGGCGGGGCTTACTGGCGGCAAGATTAAAGAGGGGTCCGCTTCACGCATCAGTGCGTAAAGCGAACCCGGAAAGCGAACGCCGGGTTCGCTCTAGCGGACCCAGAGCTGACCCCGAGCGAACCCGAAGCGCACCCAGAGCGGTCCCAAATTTTCTGAAAGCGGACCCGCAGCGGACCCCGAGCGAACCCAGGAAGCGAACCCGGTGTGCGCTTTGGGTTCGCTCTGGTGTTAGGTTGTGTCCGGTCGGTACTGTAGTAAAGGTCTAAATTTGCAGCCCTTCATCGGCAAGTGGTGGCGTATCAATATGACTGAAAAATTCTCGAAAAGGGACGTTAAATAAACAAACAAACAAGTGTAGGGTATAATTTGGTACTATAAAAGTAAGGATATTTTCAATTTTACGTAATCGGTTGATCTTCTCCTGTTACCGGACCAAAATCCGAGTCCGATAAACAGAAATCTTAAATTGCATCTTTAACAAAATTTGGCTTTAATTTGGGTTTACAAGAGTTTGTTTCTTTTCATTCTAAATATTGTAACTCTTTTTTGGAGGAGGGGGTTATCCTTTTTCTCCTTAAGTGATTGCAAAGCTTCCAGAAAATTCTCAAAATCAGGTTGGAAGAATGTTTGATGCAGATACAAAGATGCACTATGTCACACATTTACCATCAAATACGTCTCACTGGCTTTACTGACAGTCCGTGGACAGAAAGACAAAGGGTTAAATGTGTACTAAGCTAGCTCTGCACGAGGATCGAGGATTTCGACTTCAACATCTAAGAAAAAGACTGGAATAATATCTCTCTCGTTGAAATTAAGAAATTGATGAATTCAATGCATCGTAGTATTCGAGCTGTAATTGCTACAGTTGGTCTTTGGGGTAGGTGGCATATGGACATTTACCTGTAACATTCAAAAATGCAATGAAATCACGCATACAACTTTAAAGCTGCTGATTGGAATGAATTTCAACTTTGAATTGTAGTAACAAGTTGCCTAAAATGGGCGCCTTTAACATGATGCAAAATAACATCGCTTGGTCAAAGTCACTGAAAGTTTGCAAATTGATGTCAAATTTATATTAAACATTTTGTAAGGGATTACATTAATTTAAAAATTAGAAACTGCACTCCAAATATAAGTTTTGTGCATATACAAAGAAATGCAAGTTTTCCCAATGAAAATTCTGTTGACTTTCTGCACTTGTCTTCTCCTTTCTCTTCATTATGTACTCTTTAAATTATTCTAGTAGCAGCATGGTAATATAGCAGACACTTTATATGAGCTTAGTCTGAATCGTTATCTGCATTACAATTTATCTACTTCTTAAATTTATCCTTAAAATTAAAAGGGTACTGAGTAAGACACTTTTTGGTATAGTTATTTATAAACTACACTATTGGTCCCAAAGTAGACGCAATTTAATGCTAGAATTATCATGAAAGGACTGATTGTCTCTCCTTGAAAACGTATTAGAAAACGCATCACAGTTATATATCTGCAAGTTGGTTTGGATACCTCTTGACAAAAATTTGAAAATGGTCCTAATGCTGAAAATTTCTTTGCACCTACAGGCATACAGATGAAGAAAAAAGGCCAAATAAGTCGCCGGCGTGACGCAGTGGTTACAGTATTACGCCCTAGAAAGGAGATACATGTAAATCTTACTCACTTAAAGGGTTCGAATCCCTCTGTGGGACATGGAAATCCCTCTGGATGAGATCGTATAAACAAAGGTTCCTTAACAGAGAAGGTACTGCACGTCAAATATCTCTAACTAACCAATGACCGTAAATGACCTTCACCTGCAATAAATGGCGTCCCAATATTTGTGAAAAATTCTCGAAGGCACGTAAAGCAAACAAACAAACAGAACAGAACAAAGATTGGAATATTTCCAGGTACGTCTTTGTTGCGGGATACCGGTATAATTAAGATTTTTTCTATGGGATTACGACGACCTACTTTAAGTTCACTCTCTTCTCGTAAGATATTCCTAATTGTAGACATTTGTATCATCAACAATAATAAGGTAATTTATTTCTTTTGTTGAGAATGCTTAAATATATTTTAATGATTGAATAGGCAAGGCTCTTGTAATCTTTATCCTGTTTTTAGATTTACTTTTTTTCGATTAACGTTGTGATCGATAATTAATGCCATCTTTCGTATAGGTAGCAGAAAACAAACAAAAATGTAAAAGAACATTTTATAAAGCATTTATTTAACAAAAAATTACAAATGTATCTAGCTAACATGGAAAGATTCACACTGTTTATATAAATATATAAATTAATCAACTAGTGTTGTTACATGTACATGTATGAAGTGATTTGGAGATTGCTCATGTCTTCCATTTATCATATGTCATTGTACATGTATGAACTACAGGCTTTTAATTTCATACATTTTCAAGTTGTTATCATGAGTAATAAACGACACAATATTCATTCATGCTTATATTGTAAGTTCTAGGTTTTGATAAGCACACAGATTCTCGGATGCTTGCATTAATTCATATGAGTTTTTATCGTCGATTGCGTCCAGGTCCTGGTAATTGTGTGTGTCGTCATCTGAGTTACTGGTCTTTGGAGATGAGGATTGACCACTCTTCATGTCTTCTGGTGCAAACTTGGGTTTGGCAAACTTAGAGATGCAGAATTGTGGTCTTCAAAAATAAGTATATACAATGAATCACCCTGTTGAAATATTACAATATAGTCTTAGTTTTATTTATTTATTTTGTTTATATGCACTTATTCGGTAATAAAAAAAAAATTGATGTTTGATTATTATTTTTTTTATTAAATGGGGTTAATTAAATCTCTTAAATTGTTTTCTTTTATAAAGGATGTGTTTTAAGTTTAAAACAACTTGTAGCTGGAATATACGGACAGTTGAGATGGCGTGCTTTTTCTAATTACTATTCAGATTTGAACACAATCGTATATTCCTTCGTTTTTTGCTAAATTTCAAATCATTCAGTGTATACGATATACCTCAAATAAAAGAAAATGAAGGCGGCCATTAAACATAAAGAATATACTGCAACTACTATGGGAAGTCCTACTGTTGAAGCACTTGTTTCCTCTGGAAAATATATAAACAATGAAAATATGTTCAAGTACTATTGTAAAAGTAGTTTGATTTGAAATTAAACATTCCCAGCAAAGGATGAAATATACTCCGTTAATATACATGTATTTATAAAATATTAAAATCCTACTCTATTTTCATTTCATTTTGTTACATGTACAGACTAAATGGGAAAAACTACTTACGAAGAAAGGCACAAGCTACCCCAACATAATTCTCTTTGCACCCTTGAGAGCAACTTCCATCATATCTGCTGCATGTCTCATCATTGACACATTGACCGCTACATCTGTACTGACAGTTTATACCGTAAAAACCGGGGAAACACTCTAAAAGATTAGAGAAAAAACGACTTAGTACCTACTCACCATTAGCATTAATTAAATTTGTTTAAGGTAATAAGCCGCTGTTTAATTTTTTTCTGTAATGTTATTTTCTATGGCATGTTAAACGTCGCAATATTCAATATTTTCCATTTGCATAGTTTAGTTTTCTCTATGTATATTTTAAAAAAAATATTGCATAATGAATATTTGCCTGGAGTATAAGCCTGAATTTAACAAGAGCAATCGGATGTCGGTGTTAATTATGCTTCAAATTTATCATACTCATGGTGCAATTTGGTGAATCAGTAAATCCAGGTGCACATTTACAGGAACCATCGGTATTTCCACAAGTACCAATACAGTTACGAGAACATGTGCCTGAACAATTCAAACCATAGGAACCAACAGGACAAACTATGAAAGATTTTTTAATTTTACATACAAGCAACACCAATATATATGCAGATGTAATTGAATAGAATAATACCTGTAAAGAAACTCACCTGATTAATTGTACGAATCTGTATTTCAGACATGTTTTGAATAGAAACATGTGAATGCTTACTTGTTAAGATTTGTTTTCTTTAGTGTTAATTAGGAAAAAAAAAATCTGAGGAAATACTTAGTAATCCTCATCTCAGAAAAATCACAGTAATGTGTTTTTTTCCGGAATTTAATTCTTGAATTATCATGCGTATTTGTCATTCTTCGATCTTGCTCTAGGTTTTTGCCAACGTTTGGTTTTGAAAGCCATAGGGCTTAAGACTGTATTTATTACAATTTATTGTTAGTGCCACGGTGTAAAATATGACTTTTGAACTTAATATAAATTCTTAGTTTGTTGGAACATGACATTCGAAGGGCCTTTATAAAGTCTTAAATGAAATTCATTTTAATTCTATTTTTCTTTTTACATATTTTTTTTTTAATTTCTAGGTTAGGTGCATGAAATAAATTCTGAATCAAGAATAAGAACTTTTCCAGAAAGCCAAATGTCTTGCGTTCAAAACAAGAGAGAGATAGGTACAATTCCGCCCGGAATCCTCTTTTCTGACCTATAGATGGTTTAAAATAGGTAGCGTTTATAAACCAAGTTGCTGTATTTGTACTTGTTATTTTTCATTTTTTTTTCATTTTCGATCTTAGAAGCTCCTAAAATACCTTTACTACAAAGGGATCCAAAATATCCAGGGGCACAGCCTTTACTACAAATTCCGTTTATATGGCTACATGTCTCATTGTAATGACAATTTCTGCTGCAAATATTCACACATCCATTTCCAAATCTTCCAAAGGAACAAGCTATGATTGATATAAAGAATGCCTTTATTAGGAAAATGCTTTATTTACAATAAATATAAAGACCGATCATAGTGGATTGAATTTCTGTATTGTGTTTCATTTACGAATTATTATATAAAGATGGTCCTTAAGATTTAGAGGCAAGGAAGTGGGTCCATCACTGAAACTAAAATTCATAGACAAGGAAAACATCTTTCAAGTTTCACAATTTTTTGGAGGGGTCACATTTTCAAAAATGACCTTGTTTTTTTAATCATAAAACCTCAGAATACATATATTGCATATGTAATATAAAATAAAATTTCACATTCATTATTTCCATACCATCACGGCAGAATTTTCCTTTATATCCTACATTACATCCAGTATCACAATGTCCAGTTTCTGTGTTACACGGAACATTACCCTTGCAGTGACCACTACAGTTAAAGACACAGTTTAGTCCAAATTTTCCAATATCACATGCTACAATAAGATTAAGATAAAAAATTCTAGAAAATTAGTACTATCTACGTTATTCTTCAAGTTTCCCCCTTATCATTATAGTGTTCTATATTTCTTTAGTATATTTACATCTGTATTCAAGATTTATGATCGCTTTTTTTTTTTATCCTTTTCAATGATCGTGGGTCTCTCGGATGAGACCTTAAAAACCGAGGCCCCATGTCACGGTAAGTATTCGAACGATAAAGAACCCTCACTGCTCACCGGTCCTGATCATGAGTGCCGATCATAGGGCTATAGAAGCCCTTCGTTGGCATACGGTGACGTCTCTATATAAGTGAAAAATTCTCGAATGGGACGTTAAACAACATACAATCAATTAATCGTGATGGGGGACCCGGGTTGGATTCTCGTTCGACGCGCCGCGTCAAACCTAAGACATAAACATAAGTAAACATAAGTTGTCATTGTTCCTTCGCAAAGCGCCCGGCACTATAGAAGTGAAAGTGTCGAGTCTTTCAAATGCTCAATGGTCCTGAATACCAAGCTTAGCTCTAAATTTGGAAACATTCTCGAATGGGGCGTCAAACAATGATATACAATCAATGAATCTCTAATTTATTTTTTTCTAAAGTCCGATTTCTTATAACTATTTTTTCTTCTCACTTATTTTACTTAAGAAAACTTTTAATTCAGATTGTGCGTACTTTTTACACAATTTGATCCCGTCCATCCATCCGCACACTTATCAGGACATTCACCAGTCACATGATTACATGGTAACCCATTCAAGCAATGTCCTGAACACAGATAGTTACAGTTTAAGCCATATGATCCAGAAGAACATTCTATTGGAGAAAAAAAAGGAAGGTTGACCAACATAGATAGAAATTAATTTTATATGCTATGCGTTGAAAATGAAGGTAATGCTCTTTTGAAATAAAGACCTTGTTCACAGAAATCTCCCTTCCACCCAGGTTTACAACTAGAGCACGTTCCTTTTACAATATCACATATTCTTCCTTGGCAATTTTCAGGACACTGCAAGTCACAATTGATGCCATAAGCACTTTTGTCTGTACAACCTTTACAAAATAGAAGAAAAAACTCAATCTCTTTCCTTATTTCTTTCTTTTGTTAAGAAGATAAAAATTGTACTGTAGCACTGAAAAGTGTTTTATAGTACTTACTCATAGGACAATTTTAATTGTAAATGCATTTGATTTTAAATGCTATGCTTACCTAAGACAATCACCTCGCATAACTCTGTGAAGGAGAACATTACATATCCATCGGGGTAGTTAACTCCTGGTAATCTTTCGTTATAGAAGAATACGTATCGAGCATGACCTGAACAGGTAACATTGATGTCAAGTGGGGGTAAAGAAGGACCATCCTTGTAACAGAGCAATCCGTCTTTTATATTTGAAGAGTTGGATAAATAGAGGGAAAATCCAGCGAACCGACCCCTTTGTCTTAATTCTAAATTATAGCCAAGAAAATCAAATCAATAATAAATATATATATATATATATATAGAGAGAGAGAGAGAGAGAGGACGGGAAGTACGTTACCAAAATATACACTACATTTATGTTAGTGAAAACATTTAACTACCACCAAGAATACTAAAATCGCTGAAAATTATATTAACGTACAGTATGACGATTTTATCGCGGAAGGAAAAAACATGCTCGTGTATCAGTATCTTTTTCCATAGTTTTTCGTCTGGTTCCTTTGAACAATTATTTTACTGAAAATCACAAATCAAATCATTTCAAATAAAATGCAGCATATATTCGAAAAAGAGCGTAGAAGAGCCATCCATTCGTATGATACAACATGGCTGTAGCAAAAAAGAGGTTAGTTTCTGTAATATTATCTGCCTCTATCACTATTTTGCTTACTACAGGAAATTTCTGTTCGATTTTTCATAAATTCACACAAAAGAAAAAAAATCAGGTTGCTAAGCAATTGCATTATGGCCATAAATTGTCAATGGTTTGAACCGGATGTTCAAAATGACCAGAAGTGTTGCTGATCCTCGTCAACAGTTATGACGTCGGGTAACTTCTGTTCGCAAATGGTCTTGAGAAATCAACAAGGATGAACAGGTCTAGGCAGTTGTGTTTTAACCGTAAATATTTGTAAATGGGTTTAACAGAAAGTTTAAAATGGCAGGAAGTGTTGTTGATGCTCATGCATGGACAGTTCTGTCGTTGGGTAACCACTGCTCTTCAATGTTTATTGCATTGAGAAATTACAGATGCCTAACAGTTATAGATGCAAATGGTGCTCATAACCGGTATAAGCTTCTTATATTTATTTCTTCAGTATTCTACGTAATATTAATTACATGTAAAAATGAAATATTGATTTAAAAAAAAATACATTTGAGTTTTTAAAAATCTTTCCAAGAACCCACAAAAGAAATTGATCCTTAGTAAATTTATCTGCATGAATATGTAGAGTACCCGCATCGTTATTCTTTACAGGATACACGATACGATAGGATAAACGCACGATACGATAGGATAAACGCACGATACGATAGGATACACGCACGATACGACAGGATACACGCACGATAGGATAAACGCAAAACACGATAAACGCAAAATACGATAAACGCAAAACACGATAGACCTGATAAACGATCTTCTCGATAGGATAAACGCAAAACCTGATAGGATTGTTTCAAAATGCGAAACGTTTTTTGACAAGACGAAAAGTTTTGTTTTTAGATATACTGTAGTATAAAACTTTTAATTACTTGCAAATCTAAATGATAAAATATATTAAATTTATGATAATAAAACATTTGAGAAAATAATGCTTTGTAAAAGAAACGTTATTTTTTCGGCAATAAAATGGATCGACATCAAATTCTTACTGTTATTTTTTAAGATTAATTCCACTCTATGATGGACATTATGCGATTGTTTGTGTTATTATACAAATGTCGAAATTCCATCGAAGAGTTTTCATCTGAATTTTGAGTCGTTTAATTATGGAGATTTTAATATAATGGTGGCTCAAAAATTTCGTATACAAGCGAAGTTTTACAACTATGTGCAATAAATTCATGAAATGCTATAAATATATTCTTTAAAAGTATTTTAACAAATAAAACCTTATAAAATCCATATCAAACATCGATTATTTTTAAGGAAGAACTCCATGTAAAAAAATGAAGTATTTGGATTCAATATCTTGTGCTATAAGTCTGCGATGTATCCAAAATGGGGTTTAATAATCTGTGTTTAATAATTCAAATCTTACGAAAAAAAAAATTACTAGTCATAGATTGGGGGGGGGGGGGAATAAGATTATGTTAAGGTTAACGCTGTCTTGCAATTTTTCTTTTACGAATTTGCATTAATTTATATTTCATATAAATTAATTTAATTTTTATTACGTTTTAAACACGTAACTTGCTGGAATTGCAACATATTAGAACACACACACATACACACACACAAAAAAATTAAATTTCCACAATATGACAAATGGATTTTCGGACTCAATAATTGTATATTATTGCGATTAGACTTCTCATTAATTGTTACAAAAGTTATCTTATACAGGACTTCATCGGCAAAATTAGACAAAACTTTGTAAATTATGAAAGTCTTAATCCCACGGCACCGGAGGCACAATCAGCGAAGAAGGGTGGGGGGGGGGGGGTTGATAACCACTCAAAAAAAAAAAACCGATTCAAAAAGCAAAAAAATGAATAAATAAATGAAAGTAAAAATCTATATATAGACCTCTTGAATATAGTCAAGTATTAAATGCAATCGATAAACACTAATAAAATTAAATTCAAGGTGCTTTAATACACATCTTGTGTATCACGGCAGAACCAGGCGATTACTTTTAAATTTTTACATGTATCTTTGAGACAAAGTTCGTATATTTTTGCTAAGAATTATGTACCATATTCTTCGATTGATAGAATTTTCGAACAATTGTTTCTTTTTGTATTAGACAGAAAACCCGAAGATCCGGAAGTACCACAATCGCATTTTTTTTAATTTGATCACACCAATCATATTTAGAATGTAAAACTATAAAATTTATATAAAAGTATACAAATGAACTAAATCAACGGAGTTTGGGGCCATATCTCGCCTATATTTCATTTGATTGGTTATTCAATTTTTAATCTGTAAAGGAAGTGTATATTTACCTTTTTTTTTAGTATAAAATCTTTAATTGTTCATTACGTTTTGTTCATAAAAATTATGAACATTATCCAGAAATTTAGAAGATGCATTTCATTGAAACCCAGTATGATTCAAGGTAAATACTTGACACCAGGTGAGAGAGGAGTTCAGGTTTGTCGACGTTGAAAACACACGGGTTTAGGTGTCATGTGGGAGGGGGAGGGATTCGTGACCTGACAAGAAGACGGTGTACTGATTTAGGCAGGTACCTATAGGTGTCCGTTCTCTTGTTACGGAAGCGCCTCCACCTGTCACTTAGTTACGGTATAAACTCAGTTAATTCCACGCCGAAATAGTTAAGTTGTATAGGAAAAAATAGTATGGTTCTGTTTATTTTTTTTTTACACCTTCTAAATGCAGAAGTTAATTTGAATTGCAAAAATCTATATTACAAAATATAATTGTAATTAACATATGATGAATTACATGGAGCGTGTTCATGTATAATAAATTGTAATTAAACTTGTAGACACGTCAGAGAAACAAAAAAATAGAAAAAAAAAATGAAAGGAACAGCAAAACTTACGCGCATAGACAAATTTGTGTAAATGTTATCAAGGTCATTACATTCTATATGTATTTATGAATCATTTTGTAACAATCCTTTAAATAATTGATTGTGCATACATTTGGACTAGAGGCATAAAAACGCGATACTGTTATCAGACGATGATTTTTAAATATTAATTAAACATATATACCAGAGTTAGAGTATTAATTTCTCTTTCTGTTCAACAGTTGAATTAATCCTAAATAAATTAACAAAACGAAAAATGAACTCGGGATATCTCGGGTGTTTCTTCTCAAGATAAAGATAAAAAGCAAGGGGTTCCGAATGCACACGATAAACGCAAAACACGATACACGATAGAACCTGATAAACGATCTTCACGATAAATGCAAAACCTGATAAACGGAAAACACGGTACAATAGGATACACGCACGATACGATAGGATACACGCACGATAGGACACGAAAGAATTGTAAAGAATAACGTTGCGGGTACATGTACGAGGGTTGTCCCAGAAATACGCGAACATTTTCAATATCTTTTGTTTCACTAATACTATAAAGTTAAAAATTGGCATCATAATCAACATTTTTTTTAATTAATGCATAAAAATTTCAATGAAATATGTCCATAAATAACATTTTTCTCTCAGGTAAACGAATCTTACAAATCAGTTGTCGTCGCAACACTGACGACGTCAAAATGTAGCTCGTAGCGTTTGTGAATTTGTTCTGGAAATGTGCTTCTGATAAAATTCGTTTAAGCATAAATTCGGCACTCTATTTAATTTTCTTTCATTTACCACGTTATACATCTCAAATACTAGTGTTACCAGAAGATAACGGAATTAATTCTTTTAATAGACAATTCCTCAATCAATAATAAACTTAACAGTTCGTACTGTTTAACGGCGGCCTTCACTTAGGCCTATGACTTCCAGCTCCTGACTTTCAGTTTGTCTTCATTTTTGTTGGTTTATAAAACGCCTCTTTTATCGGATAACCAGTCAAGCCATCCTCAAACCTCTTCAACTGGGGATAAACCTATGTCCGAGATTTATGATTCTGTTTTTCCATCGTTAGCATCTCTTTTATCGTACGCATATATAGGAGTCATATTCCGCTTAACACAATACTGCTTAATAATTTCGTGCTCCACATTTTCGCTACACGTCACCATTTTTGACAATATCTAATTTAAAAAGTGTTTTGGCATCTAACGTCATACATTTGTCATTAATGATGTAAAATTAATGAATTTTTATACATGAGTACACCATGTCAAAGAGTATTTATGGAGGTAAATTTTGTGACATTATATTTCCGTAAAGCCTGGTAATAAAGAAAACTTCATTGACAATGCCACTTTTAAAGGTCAAAAAATTGCCGTGTGCCGACCACCGATATTTAACACCCTTTAAATCCGGTTTTTATATACTTATGACATAACAAGCCTAAAATATTTTGTCAAAATACCGAAAAAATCATTTTCCAACAACCTGCAAAAAATTATTAGTTTTGGTCGAATAGTTTCTGAAATA